GCCGGCTTTTGTTGTCTCCGCCTCCTCCGGACCGCGAGCCGCGCGCGCGGGGACCTTGGCTCTGCCCTTCGCCGGCTAGGCTGAACGGGGCCGGCCGGGACCCAGAGAAGCGTCGGGGAGCCGCGGGCCGCGCCATGGAGGTCCGGGCCCCGGGCCGGTGGCTGCTGTGTGCGGTCGCCGCGCTGGCCGCCTGCGCCCTCGGGGACCCCGCCAGCAAGAGCCGGAGCTGCGGCGAAGTCCGCCAGATCTACGGGGCCAAGGGATTCAGCCTGAGCGACGTGCCCCAGGCGGAGATCTCGGGTGAGTGAGGGCGCAGCGCCCGGGGGCCGGGACCCCCGCGCCTCGGCTGGTCTGCAGCTCGCGGCCCTGGGCTCGGAGCTCCTATCCGCTCGGTGGCCCCCCGAACACGCTCTGCACGCCAGCCCTTTCCCCACTGAGCTGTTCTGGCCCGGCCAGGGGCGCGCAGACCCCGGCGCGGTGCGCTCCTTTCGGGTCCGGGCTGGAGCCGGGCGTCTTCGGCCGCAGGCTAGGGCACCGGCTCCTTGCCGCTTGATTAGCGGGAGCTGCGGGGAGGTCCGTCCCGGCTCAGATCCCCTGGCAGCGAGCTAGAACTCCTCTATGCGGACCTCTCTGGAGGCTTCAAGTGTTCTCCCCAGGAATTCCCTCGGGTCTTCTGCAGGAGCAGCCTAGGTGGGATTTGTGGGTAGATTCTGTCCCCCATACCTTGTGTTGGAGGGAACTGGAGTGAACGAGCTATGGGCTTTAGGCGACCCCCAGGGACCCCGGGGATTCAGGGCCAGGAACTTGTGCCCGCCGGCGCCCCTGTCTCTGCGCGCTCGTGGTCCAGCCTGGTAGTTGGGGCCGCCTGGATCTGCGAGAGCCCAGCTGCAGGTGGTCGGCGCTTTGGATCCCGCCCAGGGGCCTTGTCATGTCTTTGTAAGAAGAGCGGCCCTCCTGGCGGCGGCCTCGGCCCTGCAGCTGCTGAGAGCTGCCCTTCCCCTCCCCTCCCTTCCCTTCCCGGCTGCCCTAGGAGCTCTGGGAACCAAATCTTTGTATGCGTCGGACCCGGATGCAGTGACCTCCCAGGTCCCAAGCTTCACCCTTAAATGTGTGTGGGGCTGCCCTGGGTCTGTGCCTTCCCTGGTGCTTTGTCGGCAGGGAATTCCTGTTCTGGAGATTCCTTTCAGACTGAGGGGACTTTTCGGGTGGGGGGCCAAATTCAAGTGGAGCCATGGGGACCATGTAATGACCATGTCATGGACATTCTGGATGAGAGAAATAAGAACATTACCCAGAGGGAGTAGCCTGTGGCACTACCTTACTTAGGGGTGGGGCGGGCGGAGGCACCAGGCTTTGGAGCCCCTATTCCCCAGGAGAGACAGCACCCACAAACTTCTTGGTTGGAGTCTCTTGACTAGCTCCCTCTCAGGTGCCCCAGGACAGGCGTTCCCTGTGCCTCCCTGCAGACAGCCCTGTCATTGTCAGGGCCATCTCCTGCGCCTCTCTGGGCATTTTCCACCTGGGTGCTTGGCAGCAGAAGGCCCTGGCACAGTTTGGTTGGTGCTCTGCTCACATTCTGCCCTCCCTCAGCCACACACAAATGGGAACTTGTACCCAGGCATCTTGGCCTATCTGCTGAGCCCTGCTGACTCCAGCATGCCAGCCTGAGGTCTTGGAGGGTGCTCTTCCAAGAAGCTATCAAGCCTACAGCCCTCTTGGGCACACAGGCCCACCCAGCTAACGCCTCCTTCGGGACCTTCTTGAACTTGTACTCATCCACAGCTGCTGTTCCCAGTTAGGCAGAACCCGGCAGTGTGGGCAGCGCCAAGGGCAAGGAGAGGGCAGGGTGCAGAAGCTGAGGTGTGGCCGTGCCAGAGAGCCCCGCTCTTGTTACCCTCGGATCAGGGAATGTCGGGGGTAAGAACTAAGACACGCGAAAGGTTTGATGTCTGGGCAGATGTGGGTGCCGTCCACCCAGCTGGGGTATGTGGGTGCCCTGCAGCGGTCATCCCAGTTGGGGGCCCGTGATTGTTCAGGGGGCCCTACTTAGACATGCTAGGCTGAGCCTGTGCTCTCCTATCCTCCCTGAGAGTGCTTCTTGGAGGGGGTACCACTCCTCCTGGTACTCTGGCTGCACCCCATAACCCTCAGAGTAGGAGAATCCCTATAAGCCCAGGGCACTGGGGAGAATCCTATCACGTGGACTGAAGGAAGCAGGGTGACCTCCTGGCAGAGCTACAGCGCTTGGGGTGGCTAAGCCTAGGCTCCTGTCCTCTTCTGTGCGGACAGGCCTGGCCCCCAAGGACTCGGCGCCCTCTGGTGGCACCTGATGGCATGGTCCTCCCTGGAGCCCTGGCTCATATATGTCCCCTCCACTGCAGGCATCAATCTAGACTTGCAAAGAGAGCTCTTCTCCAAGGGGTATGGACACTCGTCCTCAGCTGCTAGACATCTGCTGAAGCTCTACTGGGCTAAGTGGGGTGATCATTTGGTACTACCTCATGGTTAGGAAGGAAGAAGGGTGGCCCTGGGCACATGGGTGGCCTTTCCAGCCCTTGTCTGAAGGCCCAGAAATAGCAGCTCATGTTGGAGACTTCACTTACAAACACCATCACATCGGAGGAACTGGGTCCCCATTTAAGATGGTGTTTTGTTTTTCTGCCAGGCAATGGTAACAAGAGTTGTCCCATTTCCTGGATGTGAAGCAGCGGGGAGGTGGCCACTATGGGAATGTCCTCCCTCTACGCCAGGGCGCTGCAGGGGAGCTGGGCCGGGTGGAGTTGCCCAGGCCCTGCTGCTGAATCACAAGCAGGCAGATCTTCTCCCTCTGCCGGGAGGACTGCTCTGGCCACAGGTGTCTCTGTGCATCCCCTGTGGCAAGTCCTGTACCTGGGTGTTTACTTGGGCCTCCAGGGTCAGGGACCACCCTACCTGGTCTCTGCTGTTAGCACAAAGCCTAGCCTGGTTACCTGCCCCCAAGTGGGTTCTCAGTGAGCACCTGCAGGTGGACACAGCCTCTCTTTTGTTTCACAGTGGCCAAACTGAGGTACAAAGTGGGAGGTGGAGAGGGCCTCGTCAGAGCACACACAGCCGTGTTCTTGGGGTCTCCAGCGTGGGACAGAGGAAGAGGGGTCTGGAGGTCAGAAGGGCTTGGAACCGCTCACCTCTGTGCCCCAGGGTCACAGCCTGCCTGTCAGCCAAGGTGGGCACCTCATATCAGAAGCCCACACTGAGGATCCCCAGAGTCCCTGACAGAACTTTTTAGTTCTCAAATGTGGACTCAGGCTGCACCCCCTTCCCACGTCCTAGGAAGAGTTGTCCTGGCTCACTCCAGAACCTACAGAATCTGTCCCTCTGTTGAGGTCAGTGAAGCTCTCCAAAGCCTCTACCACATTCTCCACCCTAAAGGTTCTGTGTACCCTGTTCTGTCCCTGGGGAGAACCCCCTGGGTGGCTCAGCATGGAACCTGAGGTCGTCCTCATCCCCTACTGTTCTGCCAGGAGCTGGCTTTCATCATCTTGTTGCAGTGGCCAGGATGCACGCCCAAGGGAACCATGATCCAACAGGGCCATCTGCGTGATGCAATGACCCAGGTCCTTGCTGTAGTGCTGAGTCTCCCGTGCTGGACAGACCTCCCCGTTCCTCCGTGGAGACATGCTCTCCTGGGCTCCAGCTGTCTTCTGCAGGGCCAGTGCACAGCACACAAGTGATGGTGTCCAGCAGCTGAGAGTGCTCATTGTGAACTGGGCCCTGAGGAGGTGCTCCCCTCACTGAGCTCTGTGTGAGAGGGCCTGTCTGTGTGGCATAAGTTAAAGGAATTTCTCGATCCTAAGAAGGAACCAAGGCAGGGAAACCAGGCCTGTGTTGCAAAACCCACTTCAGGTCTCCAAGCTGAGGTAAACAGAGTCTAGAAAAAAAGAGGCTGTACTGGCTTTCCTGAGCTGCAGCTGCACTTACTGTGGTGCCCACAGCCCCACTGTCGTCTGTGGACTAAGGGATGGGCAGGGAAAGGTGGACTCTTCCTTAAGCCAGGCTGTCCTCCCCAGGATGGGATTTCAGGGCCTAACTTATATCAGGCTCTGGGATGAGCCCTCCTGAGAGTGAGGCCTCTGTCCAGCCCTGGCCTGGGTCAGTGTCTGCTTGCCTGGAGCCCTGAGCCAGTCCTGACCTAACTACTCGTGGTCACCTTCATCCCACGTGGTGTGCTGCCCACAGTCCTGAGTGGCTTAAGAATGGAGTTTCCTGCCCAGAGCTCCAGCCCCCACTGCTCTGCCGGCCGCAGTCTTTCTAGTGGCGTTTGAGAGCAGGCCTACACAGGCACCTGCACTGCTGGATGTTGAGGCACAGTTCTGGGTCACTGTGGACCCCTTCCCCTTGGGCTCAGCCTACACAGAGGCTCCTGTCCCAGGTGGGAGCACAGGCAGGCAGGAGTGAGGTGAGGGCGCCTGGACCCTCCAGTTGTTCTCTATTAGCTCCGCTCCCCCATGCCAGGGAAGTTCTTGAGGGAGGGGAACACACTGCTGCCCCATTAAGTGGCAGTCAGGAATCCTGGATGGCTCATTTGGGGACCCACCAGCTTCACCCCCTCTGCTGCCTATACCCTCAGCATTACCTTCCAAGCAGTGCCCCCTGTGCCCACCCAGTGTTCCCTGACAGGCACACACACACTGGCTCTAAATCTCGCCTGGGCAGGTCTTGGGTCTGTTCATGTGGTAAGTGTTCCAGGCTCCCCTGCATGCCAAGCAGGAGCTGGCCCTGGAGACTGGCAGCATTTCCCTTTCTCAGGGTCATCCTACCAAAGTACAGCGAAGAGGGCAACCTAACAGCCGGTGTCGAGTCTGTTGCCTCACTGTTCGGGATGCTAGAAGCCAGAGACCCAGGAGCCTGGCAGGGTCATTCCCTTCTGTGGGGGAATGTGCGCTCAGCCTCTCCCAGCCTTCGGTTTGCTGGTATCCCTGGCTTGTAAATCCACACCTTCATCTCCCCGTGGCTTCTCCCATATGTGTGTCTGCAAAGGTTCCCTTCTCATACAGACACTAGTCATCTTGGTTAGGGTCTGCCCACATACTCTTGACCGTTGTCTACAAAGACCCAATGCCCAAATAAGATCACATGCTGTTAGGGCGGGGCATGCTTCCACATGCAAGTTTTGGGGTTACGGCTCAGCTCACAGCAAGGAACGTGCACTCTGATACCCACCTCTCGTTCTCGGCACTCGGCTGGCATTTTCTGTCTGGCAGCGGCAGCAGCGCTCCGGGTGTTTCAGAGTCACTTCCCACCTGCTCCTTGCCCTGCCCGTT